AATCTGGCTTACATATACAAAGGTCAGTATGATCACGAGTTTGGGTTACAGCTCAGAAAATAAAAGGAATTCCAGTGAGAGAACTCCACTAAGGTACCAGGGCCCACTTAGGTACCTACAGCTAATTTAGACCTTGCTTCCTCCTGGTTACGTAGAATGTGACCAGTTATTTATGGCAAGATATGTAACAGTATTTACTAGGATTTGTAAGTAAAAATCAGTTTTGGTATCCAAACATGAGTCCTTCCTAGACTGATTTGTATTAAAACATAATCAATCCCCCTTGCATCTAACCAGCCACCAGCACAAAAAATCTGAGGCTGCCAAGTAACAGCTTGTAAATCTGATCCAACCAAAACCACCTTCAAGGCTAGAAATTTGGTGCCTGAGTACAAATTCCAAATTTCCTAAACTTTAAGGGCTTTCTAAATGTTAAGACTTTATAGGAAACTATTTATATTTGGGTGGGGTTTTTTATGGCAATTATGCGTGGTTTTCTAAGGTCAATAATGCTATGAATTTCGGTCACCTATGAACATAGTCTTAGATATCATTTTAAAATGTGCATTACTTGCACTAACCCCTGCATTGTACATATGCACGTGTATGCATATATACGGCACATACACACATTAGGTGGTTTAACTTGCCACATGTGGAGCCAATTGAGAAATCCAAAGTTTCCAAATCAGAAACCCTGACTATAGGCACATACCCATCTATTTTTATTGTCTTTTTGAAAATCAGGTTCTGAAAGTGTGTGTTACTCAAGCCGTTTGCTGAGACTCACCAGAGTCTTTGCTGAGGTTTTAGAAGTCGTGAACTTGTAATGATGATTTTTCACTTTAGCAACCACCTTACTGATTCCACCTGTGAATAAGAGGTGTTGGTACACAACTGCAGTATTTAAGATCCCATCAGTTCTATACATTTTGGTTTTTTTCAGATCACAGTTGTTAACAGGCCACCATTTAGGTGAATATTTAAGTGTATGCTGAAGTCTAAGCATATGCTAATATCCTGATTATCCACTGAATCCTATATTACTAATGCACATTTTTGCGTCAAACACATGCTGAAGCATATTGTTGGATCGAGGTTATGCTAAGGTATATAAATCTATTTCTAATAAATACTTCAGAGTTCAATCTAGCAGCAACTATACAGAATCTCTCTTATAGGCTCTTAATAGAACAGTCATATCAACAACCTGATAAAATTATGTTCCTTCACCAGTGTACCTTAGGTAGAGAGATATTTTACATTTTCTAACAACAAAAAACCTGAAACAACATTTTTTGAAAACAAAAGTATCCATTTCGATAATATTTTGTCAACATACATAGTGAAACCACTTTCAAAAACACCCTGTTTACAAAATGGTTAATAATGTATGAGAGAGAAATTATAAGCTTGTAGACACAGACTGGTCTTGGTTTAAAAAAAAAAAAAGATAGATTTGTGTCTCATTTGCTTTCCAAACATTCATGACGCCTGCTTGACTAACCCTCAGTCACAGCTGTGTAAACAACAGACTTTTAAGCTGCTGAACAGATAATGGGAGGAGAAACCAACACATCATATGTAAAATGGGAATAAACAATGCCATGATGAGACTGTCTCCCCTTCCTCCCAGGGCAGCTTCTGGTGTTCATTCTCTGGTAAACAGCATGAAAACCGCCATGCTTTTTCTCCTGTTGAAGATTTGGCTTTGATTCAGTTAAACAGATGGCAAATGGCCAAGGCAAGTGTATAATTTGGTGGCTGAAGTACTGCTCTCTCACCTTGGAATAACCGAGTTGGTTCAGTTGCGTTTCTGCGACGCGTGATAGTCTGAACGTAGTTCCTATTGGATGGCAGCTGATACTGCAAAACCAGCGCACTTTACGAAATTCAGCACATTATGGAAAACTGTAATTGTCTGATGAGGGGAGACCACAGGCTAAACTAACAAAAGATGAAATAAGCACTCAGTTGGGTGTTTCCTTTAATGTACAACTTGGTTATATTGGCGAAACAGCAAAGGAAAGTTTGCCTTGTAGGTGGCAACGTTGTACTAGATTTGAATAGAGGTGTCTGCCAGCCCCTCAAGCTCCCAAAACAGAAACAGTCACTTTTCTGAGGAAATTGGAAACAAATCCAATTGTCTGTTTGGGATTAGAAGCCAAAAGAACTATTGCGCCCGTTCATACTGTCTCTGCTCATTGCAGGGGGGTTGGACTAGATGAGCCTTAAAGGTCCCTTCCAACCCAAAGCATTCTATGATTCTATACTATTGAAGTGCAATAATAGGCAATCCATACTGGCGTTTTTAAACCTGCTTTTCTCAAAATGGATCTGATATTTGCATGCTCAGGGAAGTTGCCCCACCTGCCTCAGGGAATATGGGTGGGCAGGGATAACAGGCTTGAGGTAACAAGAGCTGGAGTTCATTTAATTCCTTCAGCATTTGTTGGACAATCACGATCTTCAAGCTCCCAGCTCACAGCCATTATTTTTTAAGTGGATGGGATTAGAAGAAAATCCATCCTCTAACTGGTATAAAGAGACTGAGCTTGACCTCCAAGAGACAAACAGAAGCGGACAGATGAGGTGGTCAAGTGAACTTGGCTCTCCCAGGTGTGCCAATACTTGTAAGCGGGCTAGCTTTAAGCTCTTTCTTGAAAAGAACTGCAAGGCAAAAGAAGGTAGATTATACGCCACGACTCTTTGGGTCTTACTAATCTTCTAGCATGTTGAAATGCACTGTTGCTCAGGTATAAAATAAGGTTTTGATTCCCACCTGGATACATGTGTTACTTGAGAAATGTCTCGTGCTTGGCATATTGTGCGAGAGCCTGAGTAGAAATGAGTGAACTCTCAAAAAATGGAAAATCAGCCAACATGCAGTAATTTTTAGTAGGTTTTTGTGAATTAGATATTTGTTAAGTGCTAAGCATAAAGAATTTCCCAAGATAAAAAAGAAGTAAACTAGTCGCCTCGAGATTTATCTATCTTATGTTCCTAACAAAGTTTTGGGTTTGATTAATAAATGTGAGCGTTTGTAATTTTAGAACTCAGTTACTTTATGTATGGCCTCTGAAAAGTTTTTCATATTGATCAAGCGTGAGTAACAATTTTATGTGATAGTTCCCACTTCTGAGCTCTTGATGAGAATTTTTGTGGAAATGCAAGGTTAGATAGAGTGAGTTCTGCAAACATAAAAGCTTTAACTAGGTATTTGTTTTCAAACTCGCTTCCTGGTGTACTTTAGCAGTGCCTTGCTTTAGAAAGGCCTTTGACTATTAAAAGGGTTTTTTATTGGATCTATGGGAGAGACTATTTTGCCTGCAGTCCTTAATAAATATTGTGAGAGGACCCACTCAGCTGCTAAAGGCAGAAAATCTGACTTCTTGGCTGGACGCCCGTTTTAAAGTAAAGCACAGTCAGTTAACCTGACATCTGCATTATATTCCTCTGCTTACCGTGGAGTCGGTCAGTTACTTTTGCAAAAATCATAAAAAGAGCTTTGTATTCAAGTGTGGAACATGCTTTTTTCCCAGTGAAATTAAAAGGGGCTGGAAATGTTCATTCTTTTGAAAATCGGGCCTTTTCAGTTTGTGCCTCAGCTCTTTGATCTGTAAAATGAGGTTGTAATGTTTGCTCACGTCCGTGAAGAGCTTCCAGATTCATACGTGAAAAGCGCTACGTCAGTAGTTGGGTCTGGTAGGTGGATAGCTGAGCATGAGAGCAGGTAGTTCATGCATTGCTTAAAAATGAAAGAAGTGCAAATGTGAAGAATCCCTTTGTGGCCAATAGGTCTGAAAAAGTCAAAGGAAGGTTATCAGCTTCCGTCATTCTTCCCAAAACCAAAAAATTTGTACTTAACCCTTTTCTTCCCTGCTTGACAATGCTGCTCTTCACGGTGGTGAAATTGAGGTACTGTGGCTCTTCTGATTCTCCTGTAAAACTGATTCATGTCACATGTCATCTTATGTGGTTGATGTTTTCTTTTCACCCTTAGAATTACCCATAGAGGCTGATCAACATGAAGATGGAAAGAAGGAGTGCTACTACAATCTGAACGATGCTAATTTCTGTGACAATGTGCTTACGTCCAATGTAACCAAACAAGAATGCTGCTGTACCTTGGGTGCTGGCTGGGGTGATAACTGTGAAATCTTCCCGTGCCCTGTCTTTGGAACTGGTAAGAGGAGGCCTTCTGTCCCTTTGCAAACTTCGGAAGCATTGTGTTTATAACAACAGTAGCGTGCTTTGCCTTCAGAGAAGGCTTGCCCATTAAATCCCATATTCTGTAGTATTTAGTCATGACTTATCCGTAGGAGGCTTCCACGGAGGAAAAGTTAATAGGAATAATTCATACCTGGTGTAAATCCATTGGCTTCACTGCAGTTACCCTAGAGATAAAAAAAGCCTGTTGCTGAACAGCATTATCTCCAACTGATTTTAAGCAAAGATGGATTCTCACAGAAGCTTTTTCCAGATGCTAGGGTAACATGTTAGATTTTTCCCACAAGCTGGAAAACAAAGGTAAGCATTACAGTGTTTTTGAGTCTGCAGCTATTCTTTGTAATGTTTCTACAGCACTACGAATTACTGATATATTACGACATTAGTTTTACATTTTGCTACTTATTGAACAATTCAGTTAATCACGTTGTCTGCAGACTGTTGTTTAACCTCTAAATATTAAGTTAGAAAAACATAGCCATGTGATATTTGTCACAAATATTGAAAACAGTACTTGAAACATAAACAGTGATGGCTGAAATTCAGAATCCAGCTGGAAAAAAAAAACCACGTAAGAGAGAACATGTGTAAACTTTGTGAGATTAAAGATTACTTTTCGCACAAACGTATCATCATGTTTAATTCCTGTTTTAAATGTACTTTAGAATCAATGAAACTGAAATTAAATGCCTTAAAAAAAAAAAAGCCTCTCTGCTTGGATAGGTTTATTTCATTCTGTATGGTCTCCAAGACACTTTAAATAATTTCTCTCTGTAATCCACACCATGTTCTCCTGTTGCAGTCAATTAGTGTTTTTCCTGTAAAAGGACTGAAGAATGTGGACGGGGGGTTGTATGTCAGTTGGGGTACGTCTAGATTGCAGCTTGCAGTATAGCTCGGAGAGGCCCATGCTAGCTTTAATTAAGATAATTTGGCTACTGGTATTGTTATAACTGCAGTGCACCATGAAACCCAGTAAGGACTACATTCTCCTGCCAAGGAGCAAGAGAAATCCGTTTGCACAGAGCTTGGTGATGCTGTGGGCACCCTAGCAAGGTTTTTCAAAGCTAGCTCTGCAAACCGAGAGCAGGGGAAAGTCGGGCTGGAGCGTTAGCGTCCCCCATTTGGCTAAAGGTGTGCGTGATTGCCTGATAGGTGTGAATGAGGCAAAACGTCACCTCAGATTTCTCAAAATACCCTGAAACACATATGAAACACATATGTAACATATGTATGTTGAGTAACTACTACTTCTTAACAACATAATTTTCTGGTTTTTTCTCTCTCCTAGCTGAATTTACTGATTTGTGTCCTGAAGGAAAAGGTTTCATTCCCTCTGGAGAATCAGCTTACGGGCTTCTTGCTCAGAATTACAAAGGTCAGTACTGACTTGTATTAAGTTTAATTACTTCAGAAGTTCTGGCAGTTGATTGACTAGAAATGTGAGCCACCAATGTAAACATACTAATTCAAATTTTATTAGGTGATAAAACCAGATTGTGATATAAAACATTACTGAAAATCATCATTTGACAGATTGTTAAGAATGTCAATTCTACAGTCTCTGTAATATTCTGGTTTAATTTATGCCAAGTGCTATATACTGTGAGAGTAGGTGCCGAGACCACAAACTTCAAATACTCATTTACATATGAAATACAAAGCCACCTTAAATTTGTAAATAAATATACAGGGAGTTAGGAGAGAGAATAAAAGTTCTGTTAAACATTATACCTACAAGTGAGAATGAATATAAAAACCGAGAAGTTCAGCATTGATATTTTCATTACAGAACTTCATGAAATAATTACTGAACAAAAGACTGTAGAGAAATATGAGTGACAGAAGGAGTTGGTGGGTGTGGGCAGGAGAGAGTTGGCATCACAAAGAAGGAAGAGTGAGATCAGCGAAATTCTTTTTCAAGTTTGAGAAGTAGCCATCAATATTAATAATTTGTGAGATAAATTTTCCTTGGCATAAACACACTGTATTTGTGTTAGCTAAAATGAAGTCAACGTATTATCTTTGGGTTACATAGCAGCTACAGGATCTTTAGAAAAGCACACACTTTATGTATTTGTTCCTATTGGAATTGCTGGAACTAAATGTAGAAAGTACTGTGTGTTCATATCACATAAAAATGCAGTAAAATTTACTATTTTTTAAAGACCTTAATAGAGGCATCGTATCACATGGTTGATAGACAAGCATTTGTCAGAGTTGCTTCTAGTTAAATTGCTAATCTGTCAGACCTAATTCTGAGACATGACAAAAATTGGTGGGACGTGAAAGATTTTTGGGTTTTTTTCCTAACTATTGTTATGTGTACTTTTTTGAACTATCCTTCCTCACCGAGTAGGATGCTACCAGGTCAGTTTTCCTGTCAAGTTAGTGAGTAGACCATGAGTTCAGTTCTCTGTCCTAGTAATGGTTTTTTGTGTTATCCTCAGCAGGTGTTTGTTTGCACCTGTAAAGTGCGTGGGGCATGGAAAAGATACTAAAGGTTCTAAGGCCCTAATACCCAGATTGATTCAAACTAATGTGGGCATTTAAATGGGGTAACTCACGCAAGACATGAGGGAGCTGGGGTGGTTCAGCCTGGAGAAAAGGAGGCTGAGGGGAGACCTGATCGCCCTCTACAACGACCTGAAAGGAAGGTGTAGTGAGGCGGGGGTCGGTCTCTTCTCCCCGGTAACTAGTGATAGGACAAGAGGAAACAGTCTCAAGTTGTGCCAGGGGAGGTTCAGGCTGGACATTAGAACGAACTTCTTCACCTAAGAGTCGTTAAGCGTTGGAACGGGTTCCCCAGGGAGGTGGTGGAGTCATCATCCCTGGAGGTGTTCAAAAAATGTTTAGATGTGGCACTTCGAGACATGGTTTAGTGGGCATGGTGGCATTGAGTAGAAGGTTGGACTTGATGATCTTTGAGGTCTCTTCCAACCATAATGATTCCATGATTCTAAGACCTCCACTCTCTGGATGTGTTGCTCCGTCCACCAACTAGGAGTAAAGAACAAAGTGCTATCGGATGAATCCAGACCTGAGACTGATGGTGGTAGGGACCCGTGTTGGACAGATGGACAATTTACATCTAGACAAGTCAGAACACACTCACAGAGCTCATCTGGAAGGACCTAATACTCTCTGAGAGTATTTTTGTTCAGGGATTGTTGAAGTGTGGTGTTTATCTTTGCAGATCTAAGGTTTCTGTATATCTTTGCAATGTAGACTTGGGACGTGCTGCGTGTACAGTATGTCCAAACGTGTCTCAGAGAAAATCTGCATTGTTTTTGTTGTGCTGCCTCAGGGTTGATAATATCTCTAGCTACCATGAATATTGAAGTGTGGAAATAATTCATCTGGAAATATCTGCCACAAATCCTTGCCATAAGAAGTCTTTTTCTGTTTTCAGGAAGTTTATTTTGTAACAACCTTAGGAATGGCACAAAGGACAAACAATAAATGGATAAGTACTTTTAGTAATGTGATCTTTCTGTGTTACACTAACTCATATGTTCCTGTTGCTTTTGTCCACAAGGTTCTGTTTGTAGGAGCAACTCCTATTTTCTTTATTAGAATTATCTGTCAGAAGTGAATATACTTGGCTAGCTCTGCTCCCAGGCTTTCCCATTTTTCCCCAGACACAAATCCATGTTCCACAGGAAAAAGACAGACGTGCACACAATATTTCTTACTAGCCTTTGCATTGTTCTTGTTGCTAAACAGTCAAACTTAAAATATTTAATGCTTGAAGCCACTTAGTGGCTGGAAGAGTGGCTGTAAAAATAAATAGTTTTATAGCACTTTCATCTCTTCTGGAAAAAAGCAAGCTTTTGAATAATTCACCTTTAAAACTGCTGTACAGCTGGAAATGACAGCTTTGGGCTAAAATCTGTGTTGCCCCAGAATAAATGGGGAGTAAGTCTATAGAAGACAGTGGATTAAGACAAGTGGTATTGAAAGGAGAATCACCTACTTTACATTGTGCTTTTTATTGCCATTTTTAATACCAGCCTAGCTTTAACAGACTATTCTAGGTATGTCCAGCAAATGAAAAGTAGGTTGGAAAAAGGAAAGTGAATGGAATTCCAACAGTAACAAATACATAAATACAAGAGTGGAAAAAAATGTGTACAACTGTGAAAAGCTATATATAAGCTGGCATATATTTTCCGTGAAACCTGCCTGAAAACATTTAGCCTCATTTGAAAGTGTGGCAGATTCCCTTTGTCAGCTGTCACTAGGTCTATAGTTGTTGCAGCCTTATATTTAGCAACAGACACAATTGCTTCTACGTGGTGGGAAGTCTCCACGGAAGCTGTGCGTATAGCTTTGAGAAACAGAGTCATAAGCAGTGTGGATATGAAGATTCCCTGCCACGCACAGCAGAGTCACCAAACTCTGGAGAGAGGAGACCAGTCACAAAGTTTATGCATAAGCACAACCGCTTAGTTAGTTTTGTAATTAAGACAGTGTAATTAAATTAGATCCATGGTGGGAATCCCTTGGGTAAAGGAAATTTTACTGGAAAATACAGGCCATGTTCTTCATCTGTTTTGCCTGGCGCTAAGAGCAATGGGATGCCAAAGGAAAGAAAGGGGAGCTGCAGATTCTTCCAGTCTCTGTGTGCCAGGGGACTGATTCTGACACGGGAAAGGGAAAGTCATGGTCCACCAGTTTTCCCTTTCCCATTCTGGCTACGAGTACACCGTAGCCTCTTCCATGCCAGGTTTTTTTTTGGTTTTTTTTTTTTTTTTTTTTTTCCTGTGGATATCTGTGTTCCTGGGGCCCTCTGTTTAAAGTGAAGTTTGCTTGAACAGAGAAGTGTTATAGGCTTTATTCCATCTTGCTCCTCTGCGTGGCCTCATAATTATGGTAACACAGCCTTTAATGTTTTCTCCCCAGATGCTGATGAATGCCAACTTTTTGGACAAGAAATCTGTAAAAATGGCTTCTGTTTGAATACGCAGCCAGGTTACGAGTGCTACTGCAAACAAGGCACATACTATGACCCTGTTAAGCTCCAGTGCTTTGGTAAGTTTATTTAAAGTGGTCTTGTCACTATAATGGTATGCAGATGGGCAAAACAAGCAGACTCGTACGGCAAGATTCCCATCAGAACTGCGGTATTCCCAGCAAGGGGAGGAACGCTGGGCCGCCGAACTCCTGTAGCAGCTTTTTAAGAGGCATTGGGTCATTTCCCTTCCCTTCTGCTTGGCTGGGCAGCAAGTCTGGCTGACATGGCGATGGCATGTAGAGCAGGGTTTGCTTTATTTGCTTCCTTTTTCACCAAATTGCTCCCAGGAGTTTGCATCTCCAAAACAGCCCCTTGTGCTCCTTTGAGGGCATAGTCTAGAGCTGGTACCGGCTTTTATGCAGGCAGCACAAAGTGATCGGAGGTGGCTCCCTCCTTGTATGCACACTGCTGCTTCGCTCTGCTGAGGTGCAAATTTAGCCTCCTGTTCTCTGCGTACGGGGTGAGCAGTGAAAGCCTGTATGGGGAAGCTCACCTTTCATTTGGTGAGTGTGCTGGTTTTACTATAACAAGTCAAATTAACGCAGATTTTTTTTTTTTCAAGGACAGATACTTTCCACAAGGAGTTAATATGCAATGTGAAATTACAGTTCAGGTCGTTGATAAGCCCATTTTAGTCTGCACAACCTTGTACTCCTTTGGTTCTGGTTTTCAACTGAAAATTACTCACAACTGTGACCCTGGCTTCTGCTTTGTAAGCAGAAAACCATGTATAATGTGCAGAATAGCATAATGAAAGGAAGTAATTTTTGCAACCGCAATGAGAGCGCCTTTCACCTTGGGATTCTATGATTGTTCTTTATAGAGGGTGGGGTTTTTGCTGATTTAATGTAATTTATTTGAAGTAAAATGGCCTGCTCTTCCCTTTGAGCTAAATTTCTGCTTTTCCTCTCCAAGACAAACTAAGGAATAGAACTACTGTGGCTAGGTAAGGGGATCCCTTCTCCTGATCGGCTCATGAAGAATCTCAGAGCGTATGCCCACCTCTAATGCCTGCTAGTACTGTCTGAAAGGGATAGGAAGGTGGGAAGGAGCTGCAGCTGTCCTGGATGCAGACTCTGCCTGGCACTCCAACCCCACCAGCAAGCCTCCTCATCCAGATGCTCCCCAGTACTTGAGGATTAGAGGTCAGCATCCTGCTGATCCGTCTGTCCTTCTCCATGGGCACAGGCAGGATTTTCCTGGCAGCAATTGGTATTTGTGGTAATTAACAAGACGGCATGCAGGGAAATCTGCTCCTAATATAGGAAAATATAAACATGGATTAACACAATGCGACTGCTTTGTGCTGGCTCTCCTTGATACGTTTCCTTCCATTTTAAAGACACGGATGAATGTCAGGACCCAAACAGCTGTATTGATGGCCAGTGCATTAACACAGAAGGATCTTACAACTGTTTCTGTACACACCCAATGGTTCTGGACGCAACAGAAAAGCGATGCATCAGACCAGCAGATTCAAGTGGTATGATCCATTATACATATTACTGAAGTGAGTACACCTCTACGAGGTGGTGCTGACATGGCTGCAGCCCCCAGTAAGCTTAGACTGGGTCATGCTTGGATGAGCCTGCTCTTTTGGAGGATTTTGGAAGGCAATGCTTGGACCATCATCTGTTGATCCAGAAGGCATCGTGATGTAGGACTCCACAGGGCTCCACTCTGCCAGTGCAGACAGGAGATTGCTGGAAGTATTAATGAGATTAGGCTTGGGCTGGGGAGTCTTCAGCCCTCTGATTCACCAGCTCCACGTCTGCCTTGTCCAGCCTTGTAGGTAATGACACACAGCCTGCTTGCTGTCTCACTAAGGCTGGGGTTTGGCTGTGGGCTAACTCTGGAGATTCAGTTTGGAGTGAGTGACTGCTTCTAACACAGCAAGGAGTAAAAACAGGAATAACAGGATATAGGAGGAAATAGCTGAAGTTGTGTCTGTGCTTTCAATTGATTAATACTGAGGGTACGTCGAGCTGGCATTTTCAAGCTGTGGGCTGCAGCGTCACTCTTAGAGTAAGGTTTTTGCATGTTCTTCTATTTTCAGTAGACGCTGATTTCAGAAAAAATGTTAGATGATATGAGATTCTTGGAAACGTCTCAGAAATCCAGAGCATTATGCAGTCTGCACAGCTTTGTCTATGCCACACACATCTTTGAAAGAAATGTTGCAATGGGTTTGATTAATATTGGCACTGTATAGCCACAAATCCAGACCTCTGGTCCCTGCAACTTGCAATGAATTTTCCTAAGATGCTTCTGTGAAAGGAAATGGGAATACAGACTGAATGCCTGCTTTAGTCACTCCAAATTGTAAGACTGATACTTTTGAGGAGTAATGTGATCATCATCTTGCCTGAAACTGTGAAGGAACCACAGCATTTCTGTTGTTCAGTCTTCAGTTAAACAAACCAAGAGCGGTATTGTCCTTTGGGTTCATCTAGGATGTGAAGAGAATGCAAGGGCCCAAAGGGTCGTCCGTCATGCGACATTGGGGCTGACACAGCAATGACCAGCACAAAGCACCCAAACCTTGTCTCACTACTGGCAGTGTCCTCTCTAATGCAGAGGAGGAGGGGGCAGGCTGGTTCCTTTGCCGCCAGCAGAAGTTGGAGTTGGTGGCAGACACCCACTGCTGCTCTTCACTGTGTGTTCTGGCAAGTTCTTAGTAGAATAGGTATCTAAATGCTGATCACCTTTGCACTTCCAGAACTCACCATTTTACTCGCTCAGGCACCAGTGTATCATGTAAAAATGCAGTAAATAGTTATGCACAGACAAAACAGAACCTTGGTTTGTGACACTTATTTTTCACTCTGTGTTGGAACCAAATCAAAACCTTGCAGATGTCTTTACAAAACAATTGTGCTGAGGTTTTTACATTCCAAGTGGAAGATTAAGTTTACAGTTCCTCTCCCTCCGATCGGCAGTGATCAGAGATTGCTAGGACTAGGAATTGGTCCTACTGAGATCTTTGTCAGAACTGGTATGCCTCTGAAATCTTCCAGCTTTGACAAAAATACATGGTTTTGTTAATGTTCATAAGAATGTGACAGTAGTTCACAGCAGTACTCTGTCTCTAACAATAGCTGTAAGTGCATGATTAGGGACCAGAAGAGCAGATAAACAATACTTCTCCTCACCCTCCCCAGCACTCTCCCAGCCTCCAGCTATTTTCAGCTCAGGGGATTTCCTGAGCCTGATGTAGTTTGTCTGTTTCGTTAATGGGATTCTCTTCCAAGTATTTGTCCAGTATCCTGTTGAGCCCATGTAAAATTTTTGTTCAGCTCTGCCCTAGCTGTAAAAGTTCTTTCAGGCACAACTGACGGCAATATAAGAAAAGCAAAATAACTTCTAAAGGCTCATTCCATGGATGAAGTTCCCCAAATATTCACCTCTGTCCTCACACTGGTTTTTGTCAAGCTCTGTTAACTTCCATGAGAGCAGAGCTGAGTCACTGTTAAGCATCCAGCAATGACTACTGATTTAAGAAGTTTTATTTCTTGGGGGTCCAACCCAATGTGCTTTTGAATTGGCCTAATAGTGCCAAATCAGAACCTTTTAAGATTTTTGCAAAGCTGAACATTCAAGGGGTGAGCCACCTCAGGCACTTAAAAATGGTCATGACTTCTAAGCTTAAATCTGTATTCAGCCAAGTCTGTAAAGCTAGGTTATTTTTCTAACCTAAGTTTAGAAAATTCTGCATTATACCAGTATCTTTTTTAAATAACAGTGCTGAGATGATGATCTGATACTGTCTTCTCCATCAGAACAAACTGAAGAAACTGAGGTCTACCAGGATCTTTGCTGGCAGCATCTAAGTGATGATTTTGTTTGTAGTCGACCTCTGGTTGGAAAGCAGACTACGTATACTGAGTGCTGTTGCCTATATGGTGAAGCCTGGGGCATGCAGTGCGCACTGTGTCCTATGAAGGAGTCAGGTAAGGAAACGTACATGTCAGTTCTTGGAACGAAATCTGAAATACTTAATCAGTTTAATCCCCTGCATTTATACTTGGGCTAATAACGTAAGAAAGAACAAAAAAAAACCCTAACCCTTCAAGAAATATTGGAAATTTTTCTCATTAATTAAGGGGAAATCATTACAGTCTAGATTTTGAAAATGTAGCTGCGTTTATTTTTTGGCACTAACAGGACCCGTTTCCTTCAGGTGAAACTGTCAGTGAGTGGCGATTTAGAACCCTGGTGGAAACAAGAGGGCATTTTAAGGGTAGCAGAGTCCCTTAACATGAGTGACAAGTTAAAAACCATCTGTTGAAACACAGATGCAGTTCATGTGCACGCACACGCATGGTACTCAGCAGGTTACGTAACTGCTTTGGACTTTTGTTGCTGGTGTTATACATTCAGATGCATTTTTCAGTGTGATACTCTGCCAGGCTGGCTGCAATTAGATGTGTTTGCTAGATGTGTTTTACCAGATAAGGATCTGGTAAGTTATGGTTTAGAATCACTAAACTAAATGAGTTGTTATTATATGGCTGTATGCTCAGATGTTGTGAAATTTATAGATAAGCAATTTAAGATAGATAAGGGAAATGGAATACCAATAAGGACTGAAGAATTTCCAGGGAACATAACTTAATATGACTGACAGTCATATTTTTAAAAGACTATCTTTTGTTAACGTGTTTAGAAATTAGGCGTTGTTCCAAGATATTTCAGGTAGAAGCTGCTTCTTGTGGTGCCACAAGAGCTAAATGGATATAAACAGAAAAGTTGTCATTAACACAGAGACTCATTTCTGAGGACCGGAGAAGAGACCAGTGGAAGCAGCACAGGTATACGTCATGCTGCGCCCAAGATACGTCAGCCCTGGTATATACAGTCTGGCACCATCCTAAATTCTTCCCTCATATAAACTATTCCAAGGCCAAGTTTGCATGTAGCTTTCTTACTGCAAATGTGTCTTTCAGGAATATAGTTTTCCATGTAGGAATACCATGCTACACTATTAGAGCATTTTATCCTGATCATACCTGGATTTTTGCTTGGGCCTGTGTTACTCTAACCATAATGTAGTGGCTAAAGCAGTACATGTTTTTCTTGTAGCAAGAACCCTGGAGTTAAAACTACATAGAGAAGCTCAGCAAAGCATTAGTGCGGTTGTTTGTGTCTGCTTGGGTTTTATGTTTCTATAATTTACTTGCAAGGTCCTTGAACCTGTTCTTACTTATCTTTACTTGTTTGAGTTTGGTTTGGAAGTGCAGCAACTGAAAAAAGCGCCTGATTTTGATGATGTTGGCTGGAGTAACTGCTGGCTGATGCTTACCACAGAAAGAGACTGAAGAAATAAAAACAGGGCATGACAGCAGCTTGATTTATAAGATATGGGGATCTCTGAAATGTCTTTGTTGCAGCAAATCTTATAGGAGGACATTCCCAGGCATTCAATTACTACACCTGCGAGAATAACAATTGCCATGGAATTAAATGTAATAGCAAAAAAAAATACAGGGCAATAGCTAACAGCAAGAATTGTTGCTATGACCTGGAGCTCCTCAGGTGGAAAGATAGAGCAGAATAAAGGAGTTTTTCTTTGTACAAAGTTCATCACATGCTGACAGTGACCCATCTGTGTCATGCGAGCATGCAATCCTGAGCGAAGGAAGGAAAGCTGTTCCTGGTAGAGAGAGTTCAGGTAGGTACGAGACTTGCTTCTGAAGATTTCTAGCTAGTTACATTTAAAACAGGGTAAATCTGACAAGGAACAGAGAAGGACTACCAAGATGGTCAGGGATTGGAGAACCTATCTTACAAGGGAAGATGAAAAAAGCCAAACCCAGATGCAGAACAAAGGCTGCAAATGGTAAGACTCTCCACTACAGCACAATCGTGGAGGATTCCCGTAAGCTTTCAGATTAAACAACAGTGCTGCTATGAGGAAAAAATTGGAACAAGTTCAGTCTGAACATATTTAGGCTTGAAATTAGATGGATTTTGATCATTAGGACCACAGGATTCTGGAGCAGCAATTCTGTGACAACAGTGGGGTGTGGATCCCAACTCACTCTAGGAAGAAACTTGAGAAATTAATTTAAAAGATGACACAAAGGTTCCTGATGGATAACATGCTAAGTGTCACTTGGATGGCCCTCAGTCAAAGCTGAAGAGCATTATGTTGGAACGTAAAATCTTTCTCCCTCCAGACATAATTTTTATGTGAATTTTAATATGCATTGAAAAGTATCTGCTTTAACTGAAACTATGAGGCATGCTTTGATCCCAAATACTTTAAATCATCTTTATAGATTGGAACATAGATAGTTTTAAAAAATAAAAGCTTATTGAATCTTTATTATGTTAGAACAAACATACAAGCTTACGTTTCTTAGTGGAGGTGATATATGCTCATTTGTCCTTGCACACATGTGCACGCACCCACACAGAAACCTGGAAGCCTTTCTCTGTTTTCAGGAACATTTACCAAGAAAAATTTAAAGCTGACTGAACTGAATAAATGATTCATTTGACATGTCTTCAGTTCGTAGCACTTAAAGTGATATCATTGGCTTGAGAGAGTGCTTTCACACCTCTGGGCCAGCAGGTCACAGGTTCAAGTCCTGGCTGAGGAACCTGGAATTTCTCCATTTTTAAATACTTGTGTATTGTGTTGGCCAGATTTACTACTGAAGATGTTCGCTTATTTCCCAAGTTAGGGGCATTCTGAAGATTTGTAACACATGTTGAAGAAGACCTGGGGATGTGAAAAGCATTATCACTGGAAGAGTTTCACCATGAATAGGTTGGATCATAGAACGGATCATTCACTGATCTGTGGTTTCCTTTTACCTTGTTTATACTCCCCTTGTATTTGAGGACCAAGATGCTGCGCTTAGAAAGAAGGAAATACAGGCCTACCACCGCAAGTTACACATTTGCAAGTCCCTGCTAAAACAAATTCACAGTTTAATAAAAATAACCTCTAACTTTTGTATCCCAGCTTGTCTTGAAAGCACTTCCATTTTTCATGACAAGATTTAAATGTCCTGTTTAAATAACATCCACCATAAAACCAGCAGGAAGACAGAGAACTTCTATAAGAATTGATCCTTAGAAATGAAAAAGAAATCCATCCTTTCATCAGCATGAAAACCTAATCTACATAGTTGCTAAGATTTCTAAAAACTACTAACGGGTGCTTGATCAAACAAACCCCACTGAAAATGACACTTAAACATTCAGAGCCTGAGACAAAAACAAGTAGCACCCATTGAAGTACTGCAACTGAGCAACATCTTAACAACAGTAAGACTGATAAGTATTTTGATCGCGACACCAAGGAACGAACTCAAAACACTAGTTCAAAGTCCTGATCAAAATAGTGCAAACATGAACTGTAGTGATGTGATTGAGTACATCTTACTTGCACAAACAATTTTGTGGGGCAGGCCTTCTTGTCATTAAACGAAGGAAGCAAAGACCAATTGTTTTCAATTACATTGGTTCCAACATTATGATCTTATGATATCATCATATTACAGATAAAGGCTTTCACAGATTGCATCCAATACCAAAATGTTAATTACTGAAAAGTATTCTCTCGGGGCTCATTGTGTTGTCAGGCTGTACTTGCCCAAAGAATGTTTAGTAATTATCCTTAAAAAACCTCTGTGTTATTTGAGGTTTGTCATTTGCAATCTGTAATAATTGACCAATTGAGGAAAATTAGAAAATTGGATACTTTTGGTTTGGATAACAAAAGCAGAACATCCTTTCTTCATTGTACCCACCCGAAAAAAACCCTGTTGGATGATGTGCCTTCAGAAGTTCTGCTTCCTTTGTCAATTTACTGTTAGTGCCCTAAGACCCAACCATCTCCATCCAGAGTCCATGCTCTAGTAACTGGCAGCAGGACAGGCACCGATGGGTTTAGCAGCTGCGTCAAAGCATCCATGCCACAAAACAGAGCAACTGGCTAAGACTGAAAAAAATCTGAAATCTAAAATAAGGCCATGTACACCTCATGGCAACCTGAACATGAAGCACCTGAATTATCAACCTGCTGAGCCTCCAGAAGCTCCTGTGAGACCCTTATGGGACTGGAGTGGATTTTAGACAAGGTGTATTGTTACAGGGTACAGGAAATTTGAAGGGAGGAGATAGAAGTAACAGCTAGAAACTACTGAGTAAGGTGGTGTGCTGGGGTGTATTTAGTTTAGGGAGACTGCCTATCTTTGTATTTGTAAAATGATCATCTCGGAGTTTGGTATTGCAGTGCAGTACCACCTTGGCTTCAGTAACGTCTGTGGGTGCTAGGAAGGTGGATGTATGTGCCCCAGAACGAAAGATACGCCTGCCTGTTAAGGAGGGTGCTTTCTCCTTCGGTAGCTGGCTGCCTGGAGAAGTTTTATTCTAGAGAACAGGGGGTAAGGTAGGACTGGAACGCTGCAGTTTTAACAGATGTTTTACCAACTGTTTCTTGAGGGTGGGGGTACATTACTACATCTAAAGCAGGAACTTGGTGGTGGTCTGACTACTAAGGTAATGTCATGAACGCATTCTTAGGCAGCTGTAAAGGACACCAGCATTCAGTTTCTCAGCCTGCTTATTTGTGTAACAGTACACATACCTTTTTTACTCTAGTTTTAAATTCTAGTAGTTTGTGGGTTTTTATGGAACCACTTTATGTTTAGAAGATCTGCAGAAAGGACAGTGGTAGAACTCCAGTCAGTAGGTGTTACAGATGTTCTGTGGGACTAGGAGTCACATAAAGAACTGCTGAAGACTGACATTGTACTTGAACTTTATCTCCACCTTAGCGTTTGCAGAGCCCTGACTAGAACACTGAGGGTAGTGGGCAATGCAAATCATCTGGGGTGTTGTATAATGTAGGATTTCTCTGGGCCAACTTCACTTTTTCTTTTATATACAGAAACCCACATCTGTGCTGGTCCTGCCAGTTTCCTTTTCCATCGGG